TTTAATGTATCAGACAGATGAACTCTTGAGACCTGGGATGATAGCCCATCTATCCTCTGGATGGGCCAACAGGCACAGAACCAAGGTGCATTCTAGAAGGTTATCTGAGAATCGACCACCAAGAGGGCCCAGGAAATTTTGTCCTGTACCTTTAACAATATATTATTATTATTAATATTTTGCTTCAAAAAGACCAATAGAGACAAAGCAAAATGAACCGTCACTTCCACGTTTGGCTAAATTTGAAAAACATATTAACAAAGAGTTAATTCAGCCAAGAGTCTACATTTACCTGAGCTCTCAGGATTGCTTTTCAGCAATTCTGAATTCACGAGGTGATTATTTTACTTTGAATTAACCACGAGGACACAGCTTTGTTCTAGTTGCACGCCCCTTGTGACCGTTAACATCCAAGCCAGAAACCCGGCTTCTAGCACTCTGTCTCTTATTGCAGCTGCTTCACCAGTGTATTTCAGATGGTGCTTTTATACAAGGCCAAGATTGAACATCTGCCCGGTTAGATAGCGGAATCCTGTCTGCATCATCTCTATCTGTTTGCTTTTACAGCCTGAGACAATGGCTTGTGACACACCTAGCTCAAGACAGCGGACTCTGTCCACATCTGGAGAAGCTCTCTATGAAATCCTTGGTCTACAAAAAGGAGCATCCAATGACGAAATTAAGAAAACCTACAGGTACAATGATGATAGCGATAGCTATTTTGTGACTGGCAAGTGCCTCCCACAAAGACATGATCTCCTTATGAAGACCAGGTCTTCTGAGGATGGTGAGACCCGCCTGAGCTGCTGTCAAGTCAGGGAGTTAGGACTAGACCACTCTGACAGTGGTTTTATGGAAGAACTTGGCCTTGAGGACAGGCAGCCTGTGCTTTAGGGCCTGAAATGTCAGAGAGAGATCACTGTGAATACCTAAGAGTTGTAATTTAACCCCTAGGATATAACACCACTGAATCTGATAGGACTCTCTCTTTTTAATAAATAATAAATAGGGGCTTATCATAATTGCTCTATTATGAGGGGGCATCAAAACGTTCTTGGAAAAATGGAATTCAAAGATAATAGAATTTCCCCATGCGCTTCTTGAAGCCCCCTCAAGTAAGCTGCATCCTTCAAGCCCTCGATGTTGGTCTTTGGAATCTGATTTTAATTCTAAGTGATCTATTTTGGAGGGAAACCGAGATACTCTTTTCCTTAGAACTTCAAAGAGTAAGAAAAGAGCAATACAAAAAAAAGAAAATACTAATTATAAAATATTTGGAAGTCACCAAAAAGAAGAAAATCACATTTTCCATAATTCTACCTCTGGTAATAATTATCATTGATATTTTGATGTTTCCCTTTATCTTTTTTTCTGTCTGCATACAAAAAACATCTTAGAACAAATTCAATTACTCTATATCCTCTCAGCGTTCTTTTCTACAATGTTGTTTTTAATGGCTGCAGCTTATGGCAATACAATAATTTATTTAACCCCTTAATGAGCTATATTATTCAACATGTAAATTCTTTTAGTTTTCCCTAGACTAAAAGGCCTGTCTTTAAATTATGTACCTATGTCATTATTTCCTTAATTTTAAAAATAAATGAATACAATTGTGGTTTTGTAGGAAAAAGAAATCATACTACAAATGAAAGTTTTGGATTTTAACAAGTTCTTTCTTGATTTGGCTTGAATTGGGTTTTTAAACAGGATTTAAAAATTTTTAAGTAGGCAAAAAATGTTGTTAGTCATTTCTTTTATGATTATTGTTTTAAGTGTCATGGTAAAAAGGCTTTCTCAATTAATATATTTTATAAATATTAAACCGTATCTTCTCCTAGTACATTTTTGTCGTTGCTTTTATATTAAATCTTTGTTCTCCTTGGAATGTATGTCCACATAAGTATGATTCCAACCTTCTCCCCACCCACCCCCATTGTCTAGCCCACCAATACTGATCAGATCATCCATTTTTGTTCACTGGTGGGAGATTCTATGGCCTTGAATCTAAACCTTCCCCATATTGTAAACGGCAGCACCTCAAATGCCTTAAAGCAGCACAGGTTGAAGAATGTATGAGTATGGGGAAAATACCATTGGGATTCTGAAGGTTCTATTCAAATGGCAGTGTCTAATCAAACTCAATGTCAACCTTCTAGTTGATGTTTTATTTAAGGTGCTGGG